AACCAGTCCCCATTTTTAGGTGTGGTCTAAAAGTCATGCCATTAACCTAACAAAGGCAATTTCATGGCTGTCATCACTTAGGAAATTTCAAGGGTTTTGGGAGCTGTGAGCTGGAAATGGTGGATGAAGACCAAATATATATGAGAAATATATTCTAGTCATCTGAATTGATCAAATATATATTTCTTATAAATCACAATTTATATATGCAAGCAAATATTTTGGTCAACCTCTTGATAACTCCAACTTTTATGTTTCTTTGGGCTACTACAATTTTAAAAACTTGAGATGATTATTTTTGACAAATGCCGCCCCCCCCGCCCAAGCACTGTTTATACAGAATGAGCTTTGGGTTAGGACAGAGACAAGCCTTAAGAATGGAACTTTCAGGACCTGTTAAAATGGACAAATAGTGATAGTTCTGTAAGAGTGAAGCCTTGTGAAACTCCAACCCCATTCTGCGCTCTCTGGTGGCTGCTAGCCTGTTGGTTTTCACAGCTATCATTATTGTGAAGCTGTTGATTTTCAGTGCTACAGCAGAGTTGGGGAAGGAGTGATCTGATTAACTATACTTAATGCACAACAAAGTACACTGGTATTATCAAGATTCAATCTTTTATCTTGAACAGAGAATCCTTAGATTCTTAAACCTTTAGTTTATTAGAGAATATCATATATATTATATAATCTGTCATATATATTATATAATCTGTTGTTTATAATATATATTACAGAAAAAAGTTGTATCCAGGATTTATAAAGAAGTCTTATACCTCAGTAGCTCAACAATAAGAAGACAAAAATCCAGTTATAAAACTGGCAAGAATTTTAACAGACCCTTCATGAAAAAAGATAAATACCCAATAAGTACGTGATAAACTACTTAACACCATTAGTTATCAAGAGAATGCAAACTAAAACTATAGTGAGATACCACCACACAGCCATTGAAATGGTTAAAATTTAAATTAAAAAAGTCAGTTACCAGATTTTTATTGTAGCTTTATTCACAATAGGCAAGATATGGAAGGAACCCAAGTGTCCATCAATGGATGAATGGATAAAGGAACTGTGGTATATACATACAAAGAAATATTACTCAGCCATAAAAAAGAATGAAATCTTGCCATTTATTACAACATGGATGGACCTAGAGAGGATTATGCTAAGTGAAATATGTCAGAGAAAGACAAATACCATATGATTTCACTCATAGAGGGGAAAAAAGGAGCAGAAACAGACCCACAAACACAGAGAAGGAACTGGTGGTTGCCAGACTAGAGGTGAGTGGGGGAATGGGCAAAATGAGTGAGAGTGGGAGGTGCAGGCTTGTAGCTATGGAATGAATAAATCACTGGGATGAAAGGTACGACATAGGGAATTTAGTGAGTGGCATTTTAATAGCATTATATGGTGACAGATGGTAGCTATACTTGTGAGCATAGCATAATGTATAGAGTTATTGAATCACTATGTTGTAAACATAAAACTAATATAACATTGTATATCTGCATTACTTTACTAAAAAGATTTTAAGGTAAGTTACCAGATGTTGAAAGATATGTGGATCAATTGAAATTCTCATATATTGTTGATAATAATACAAAATAGTACATTGACTTTGGAAAACAGTTTGACATTTTCTTATATGTTTTAAGATATACTTACAACTAATCTTATAACCCATTTATTGGACCCTTATGTATTTACCCAAGATAAGTAAAAATCTATGTCCTAGAAAGATTTATACATTAATTTTTAAAGTAACATTCTTCACAATAGTGAAAAACTAGAAATAGCACAATGTCCATAAATAGGTGAATGAATGAATAATGGTATATTTATCCAATGGAATCTACTCAGCAACAAAAATAATGAATTACAGATAGATGAATTTCTAAGATACTGTGCAGACCAAAGTAATCTAGATATAAGAGTACGTTCCATTATGATTCCATAGAAGAGAAGAGTGGTAAGTAAATTGGTTTCTATACAGCATTAATTACCTGCCTAATTAATCCTGTTTTATTCTACCTTATTCCCAGAAAACTTCAGTTGCCTAAAATACACTATCCAGCTACATTCTAGAATGAGTGAGGAAAAAACACAGAAGGCCCATGAATAAGAAGGTAGTGTGGAGAGAATCCTCAAAGATATCTTGAACAATTATAAGATAGAAGCTTGGTGGACAGGGATGCAGAAGTATTAGGGAAGATAAAATAATGATTTTACATGGTCTAGAATGATGTAGTAAATTTTATTTTAATAAGGAAATAGATGCCTCATACATAACAAGCATTTCTATGTTATCTATTGATTCTTTGGAGTCCAATAGTTACCCAACTCATTTATCTGAAATACATGGCTCATTCCTGCACTTTTCCTAGTACAGAGGCTGAATATGTGAGACTTTCTTTCAATGAAGAGCTACTAATTTATGCTTGTTCATATTTGTGAACGTGATTTGTCTCTGCATTGTCTCGTTTTTTATATGTTTGTTTATAAGGTAAGTATGGTAATACCTACCTTTGTGTGTTCAAGAGGAATAAGTGAGAATGCTTATGGAAAGTCATTCATAAACTTTTTCAAGCTCTGTGCAAATGTAAAGTAGTGTTTTCAATCAGACCAAAGGTCTGGAGAAGAGAAGTTGGTGCAAATAATGAAAATGGAAATTAATGCAACTCCTTTCTTATCCCATGGCTTCACTTACAAAATAATATAACTGTAAAAAATCATAATATTTGTGGCTTCTGAGATGTTCAGATAATTCTAAAAGAGGAGTGGTTATTAACTATACCTTGTTTTATCAAGAAAAAACTGAAAGAATCCAGGTATTTGTGAAAGGGCAATATAAAGAATATTCTTATTTATTTAATTTCTTTGAGTGACACAGAAAGCACATGGGGGAGTTCTGGGCTTGTCCTTATCTGCTGCTGGCCAAGGAGGCCAGAGAAAAGTGATTATTTTCCAGCCATGGAGCCAGTTTTGTGTTCTCTTTGCTGATGAAATATGGAAAACAGGAAAACATTCTCCTCTTACATTGGTGTGGACAAGATTTGAAGTAGAAAATGTTACTGCAAAGTGTGGAAATTTGAGAAGGCATGGTAACCTAGTCTGCAGTCCCTATTCTTTGTAAAACCTTTCTTCTTCTTCTTTCTCTTCTTTAAAAAAAAAAGATTTATTTATTTATTTGAGAGAGAGAGAGAGTGAGCAAGTGGGGGGAGGTGCAGAGGGAGAGGTAGAGAGAAATTCTCAAGACTCCACGCTGAGCTTGGAACGTGAAACAGGGCTCAATCCCACTACCCATGAGATCATGACCTGAGATGAAATCATGAGTCAGACAATTTTTTTTAGTCACTTATCCTTTATTTGTCTCCAGTTAATGTATTAAGTATTAGTAAAATGAAAGCTACCATGCATGTATTGAACACCGGTGTACCAGGCATTGTGCTAACCGACTGAGCCACCCAGGCGCTCCTCTCCTTCTTCTCCTCTTTCTCCTGCTTCTCCTCTCTCTGCTACTTCTTCTGCTTCTCCTCCTCCTCTCTCCACCTCCTTCTTGCCAATGATGTGTTCAAAGGCTCAAGGTTCTAAATACTGAAAATAAGCTTTTCTGGAAATGGGATGTAGACAAGATGGCAATAAAATTCTAGGCAGGTTAATCTGTTCCAACCAAAGGTCTGAACATGTTTTATTGTGTTTGTGCTTAACCATGTTAGCTTTTTATTGAAAGGAATAGATATTGTCTGTATTGTCTCCCTTTCTGTTGGTCTGAGAGCAAAAACTCTCATAGACCTATGTATCTCATAGATGTGAAGGTGGAGGATGATGAAACTATGGAGTTAAAGAAGAAATAGAAAAAAAAGGAACCAAAAATAACCAAAATTTTGAGCTTTCCTAGAAGATGGTCTAATGGATTACTTTAGTTAATGAGAGCAGTGCTCCTTGAACATTAAAGGACATATGAATCCCCTAGGGATTATATGAAACTGCATTTTGTGATTTAGTAAGTCTGGGGTTTGATCTGGGAATGTGTATTTCCATAAAGCTTCCAGGTGATGATGATTCTGCTCTGAGAACCACTGAGAGTAGCAAGGCTGGAGAGTTTGGCTGGACCTCTTGGTGAAGGAGATATTTAAAAAATTTCACTAGAGATATTTTGTCAAAAGGCTAGCTAAATGTGATTTAGTTTTGTACCTTCATTAGACTTTTATTTAATAAAATTTAAAATTATTCACCAAAAATAAAAGCATTTGTCGGGCCTTACGACCCTGAAGTTTTTCATTAATTGCCTCCTTAGTTCAGGTCCCTTGCTGAATACTGTGTGAGCAAATTAAATTTGTTGTCCTGCCTGATCGTAACCTAACCCAGGCTGCCATATGGTTAATGTGTAAAATATCCAGGTTGTGCCTGTGTTGCCATGGAAAAGGCCCTGGAGAAACAGACCGTCTGGCTTTTACTTTTGACACTGCTGGCTAGCTTAGGGCCCTTGAATACCACAACTCCAAAATTCAGCTTTTTCTTTTGTAGAATGTTTGTGGGTATTTGTTTGGTGAGAGGTGAGAAAGCATTTAGTCCATTGCCCATAATTGGTGCTCAATTAATGCTTAAGGAGACTCTTTTAGGAGTAAAACTAAGTAGTTTTAAGTTTTATGGGCTTTGGATAGAAGGAGTCAGAGAGGACTGGAATTGAGATTAAAACATGTCTCATAATTTAAAAGAAGGACTTCACTAAACTGCCCTCCTTCCTCTTTAATGGTTTTAGTTGCTCAAATCTTCTACTGAAGTTTTAATATTTTGTTAAACTTTAATTATTTATTTTTTAAATTTTATTTTATTTTTTTTCAATGTTCCAAAATTCATTGTTTAACTTGATTAAATGCAAGTTGCTAACTACTGGAAGCACTTCCCTTTGCTTTTGTCCTATCAGCCCTAACAGATATGAGTAAATCAGTTAAAGAACAGTCTTGACAATTTCTTCTGTTTCTCTTACTTTGCAGATTATTCTTCAGCTGTTCAGAAATTTTCTCAGACACTTCAGTCCTTCCAGTTTGATTTTATTGGAGACACTCTGACTGATGATGAGATTAACATTGGTAAGTCTTCAGCTGCGTGTGGCCTTGTGCCTCTTGAGGCAGTTCTGAAACCATGAGTCTCCTAGGTTTCTGGATACAGGAAACTTGGACATCTTCATCCTCTGTGGTCTAGTGCCAATCTCATGGGAGGCTGCTTAAGAAGGATAGAGAAACACTGTTTTCCAGTCCCATTCCCCTCTCACACAAAAGCAATAAAAAGATATCCCTTAAGCCTCTGCTGAGGTCTTTGACTCAGTCAATCTGCAGGGGACTTTTTCTTTAAAGAATCTAATACATGAAAATAGATATTTTTATGAAGGATAAAGTAAAGGTGATTTTTTTGAAAACAATTCCAAAATGATTTAGAGTAACAGTCCTCTGAGGAATAAACTCTAGAATGTTTAAAAGTAGCATTTATATAGGTCCAGCTTTTCAGACAACAGGACATTTGACATAACCTCTTGGGAATTGAATTTAACAACTCACTGTATGAGCTGTGTGATATTGGACAGATACTTCCTTTTTCTGAGCCTTAGTCTTGTCATCTATAATATGTGGTTAATATTAATATCAAGAATGTTACTAGGAAGAGATTGAACAGTGGAAGTTAAAGAACTTTGTTTTTGTGTTAGTTACTATGAAGTTAAAGTGGTGTCGGCCAACTCTGGCCCTTGGCCCAAATCTTGCCTGCCGCTGTTTTTCGGTAAATAAGGTTTTTTTGGAACACGGCTACATTTATTCATTTAATATTGTCTAAGGGAAAAATATTGTGTAAGGGTATTTTGTGGTAGTACAACAAAATTGAATAGAAGTGGCAGAGACTAGATGGCTTTCAAAGCCTAAATTATTTGCTCTGGTCATTTAAGAAAAAGTTTGGTAACCAGCAAGTTAAAGAATGCATGTAAAGCATTTGCTAGACAAGAGCATTGAACCACAGAACTATTGCGAATGCTTTAATGTCACTGAAACAAGTTAGTTACGCAGTTGTATTTATGAACTCCAGCATTAAAATATAAAAATGTATTATTATTTAATGGTCATTGTAGTAAATATGAATCGTATATAAAAGTATAAAATTACCTATGATAGTAAGATATTCCAGTACAGGAACAATGTATTGAATGATATTGGCATATTATATTTTAGCTCTCTTTTGTACATGTATCTCTTTTATGTGTATGCAATTTAGTTCATGTTAAATACATAGTTTTATCTTTTTAACCTAACATTTTATCATAATCATCTTATGAGAGCATTTAAAATTCTTTGTATGTTTCATGGTGGGGGAGGGCAAGGGAATTGTTTTTATTCACTGCTATTTCCCCAGCATGTAGAGGAGTGCCTAGCATATAGTAGATGCTCAGTACATGTTTGCTGAATGAAAAAAAAATAATGGATGCATTCAGATCTCTTTATTATAGGAGCCATACTTTATATAGTATTCAACTATTTAGCTTATTTCCAATTTTTCACTATTATAAATAATACTTCAATGAGTTCTTTTGTGAGACTAAGATTGATGACTTTTAGTAAATATGGTGGTATAAATAATGAAGCACACATTTGCATTTATATTATTTATTCACTTCATTTTAATTTTATAAATCTATTTTTGTCTAAGGGCATGACTTATTTAAAAGTTAATATCATGGGCTTGAGAGTCAGATAGCCCAAATTTGAACTCTACTTTGGAACTTAATATCTGTGTAACCTGGGTAGGTGACTCCCTTTCTAAGTGTTAAGTTTTTCTCATATGGAAATAGGGATGAGATGATCAATGCCAAGTGTGCACAGTGTCTAAATACATGTTAACTGTTTAATCATTGTTAATATAATATTTGCTTTCTTTGTGCTCTGCAATAAGCCAAATGTTTCTGTGTCTTCCCAAAATTCATATGTTGAAATTCTAACCCCTGATATGGTGGTATTAAGAGCTGGAGTCTTTGGGAAGTACTTAGGGCATCAAGGTGGAACCCCTCACGAATGGGATTAGTGTCCTCATAAAAGAGACACCAGAGGGCTCTTTTATCTCCCTTCCATCATGTGAAGATACACAAGAAGTTGTCAGTCTGCAACCTTGAAGAGGGCTCTCACCAGAACCTAACAATGCTGACACCCTATTCTCAGATTTCCAACCTCCAGAAATGTGAGAGATAAATTTCTCTTGTTTATAAGCCACCCCGTCTATAGCACTTTGTTATAGCATCCTAAACTTAGGAAAGGCAGAAGAAATTGGTACTGAGAAGTTGGGGTGTTGCTGTACCAGATACCTAAAAATGAGGTAGCTTTGGAATTAAGTAATGGGAGGAATCTGCAAAAGTTTGGAAGTGCATGCTAAGAAAAGCTTAGATTGCCAGGAATGGAATTTTAAAGGCAATTGTGTGAGAGTTCAGAAAGAGAAAAGGCGAGCCATAGAGAAAGTTTCCATGAACAACATGTTATTAGACAATGGAGAAAAGCAATCCTTGTTATAAAGTAGGCAAAGAACTTGGCTGAACTGTGTTTATGTTCTGGTGTTTTGTGGAAGGTAGTGTTTTCCGACTGAAAAAAATTGAATGTTTGGCTGAGGAAATTTTTAAGCAAAGTGTTAAAAGAATGGCTTGGTTCCCCCTGTTTCTACTAAAAACTAAGGGGAGAAAAATGAATTAAAGATGGAATTATTAAACAAAATGGAACAAGAATTTCAAAGTGTGGACATTTCTCTGCCTGTCCATATTACAAAAAAATGACAGTGTGTTTGGAGGAGAACACCAAGGGTGTGGTGGACTGACCATTGCATAAGGAGATCAATACGGGTGTGAACCATGGATGTAATCAACTATTCCAACAGAAGCCAGGAATAGAGATGGGATTATATGAGCAGAAACACTACCCGCTGGGACTATAGGAAACAAAAAAATGGGACAAAATGAAGGAAGACTCTTTGACTTCTTAGACCCTGTAAGACCCAACCATATAGCTATTTGGCTCTGAACATGCACTATTTTTCAAAGACAAGAGAATAAGGACTCTGAAGCCAATCCAGAAATCATCAGGGCTGCCATTTCTATCACATGCCTAGAGTCTAGAGGCCCTGTGGCCTCCCACTAGATTTGAAAGGATGAGACCAATGCCCAAGGAGCTGTAGGGGCGGGCCCACTGAGGGTACAACACCTACCTTACCATAAATGTCAACCAGTGCCATTTAGGAAAAAGGTGTGTGAGTTTGAGCATGATGGCTTATAAACAAAATAAAACAATATAAATAAACAAAACGACACCCCCCCCAGTGATGCCACATTCTTGTGGGTGTTTGTGAGCTCCATGTAAGTTGCTAGCTGTGACACATTTACTTCTTAATGTGTGCTTTACAATAACACTTTAACTCAGTCACCATTTGCCTGCCAAGTCCAGAAACTCATAATTATCATCTGGTCATTGCCTTTAGGGATGATGAATCATGAATTGACCTTTATTGATGGGGACTGAAAAAAGATTTTGAGATTTTAATTGGCCTGACATAGTCATCTTTGTTGAGTATGCCATTTTGAGAGCTGGGATTTGTGGTAGTAGTGAGAAGAACAACCAGTGGTCCAACAGTTTAAGGTGATGCTCTTTGTAGGCTTTGAGAAGAAATACTAGAGACCCTACTGGGAGGGCACTGCTAGGAAAGAACAGTTGTGTTGGAAGCTGAGATAGGAGAGTGTGCCATACCCTCTAATTGTCAACTACTAGCCCAGAGTGGATAGATCTTCTGTTTAACCAGAAAAATTGGTAAAAGTACAGTTATAATAGAATTTTGGGTTGAGATTTAGATTTCATATTATATGTGAAGAGGACCTTGCAGTTCTTTTCATAATGAATTTTGTTGATGGCTACAAAATGTAACTCAGTACCATTAACTCCCCTGTAGATACCAGTTATCTAACAGAGATGGCAGTGATTCCTAGAGGATGTGAGCAAAACCTGAGACTTCTCTGAAGAGTCCCTTCCCTTGATCATCAGCACTAGTAACTAACTTGAGTAGTCTGTATGTAATAGGGACAAATGAGAGGAAGTGTCTCACCGCCCTGATGACATTTGTCCCTGATCTAGAGCAAGACATCTATGCCTTCAATTGGCATTGTGTGGCTTTTTCTCTACCTCTGTATCTTAGTAACCAAAGGAAATCTCAGGCGTTTAGGTAGTTTTGTGTATACTTCAGATTTCTTAGCTATGGGATCTTAGCAATATTACCCAAGCTTGTTGGGCCTCTGTTTTCCTCATCTGTAAAGCAGGAAGTGTAATCTATTTCACATGACTGTGGGAAATAAACCAGGTAAGTACATATACCAGAGAGTATATGTAAATCATTAGGCTCAGTGTCTGACTTATGATTGGTGCTCAGTATCTCATAGTTGTTACCAGGAAGGTGGTAGAAACTAAGTTTTGGAAAATCTCAGTTTGAAATTATATTTCTTGAATAACTGTGAAGGAAAAGGTAAAATAAAATATTAGTATTCCAAGAACATTAGAGAGTATCTAGCTTAGTTATTCCTAATATGTGTCAGAGTGACCTGAAGCTTTTATTGATCCAGAGTCTCAGGACCTCTCTTAGATCAAATGAATCAGAATCTCTGTAATGGAGCCCCGGGCTCTGATTTCTACACAGTCATCATAACATCAGTGAGCATTTTGGAACCCCATGTCAGTTTTCAGGTTTTTTCAAACTGTTCCTTGGATCCTCAACTTCTCCTATCCACCAAATCTTAAATGAAGCAGGTAAGAATTTACTTGAAGAATTGAATTCCAGGTGAAAAAAATAAGCTGATACTTTCAGAGTGCTTACCAAGTACCACATCTTGTTTTAAGCACTTTACATAAACTGATGAGAGAGAGGCAGAGACAGACAGGTGAATGCGAGCATGTGCGCACACACACATACACACATACACAGTGAGAGAGGGAGAAAATGAGAATATACTAAGCTGGTTTACCAACCCTCCCACCACCACTCCTGCCAGTCCTACAGACAGGGAAACTGATGTCCAGAGTTCAGCTAG